GAGCTCTTTACAGGAGACTTGTTCCGCTAGTAGGTACTCTTTTTATCTTTCTTGCAGGAGCTCCAGCAGCCATCTTATAAACATGAGGCAATGCTGAGGATGAATGGAAACTCGTGGAGAGTGGAGCAGAAAAGCAGAAGTCTGGGACACTGACAGCACCATTATTACTTCACATTACCTCTGGACTCCTTTCCTCCAGACCTCTTTAATGTGACCGAAAAAGAAATTCCTAAGATGTTTAAGCTGCTATTATTTTGGCTCAAATGCAGTTCCTAACTAACACTTACATCTAGCCTAGATTTCCATCAGCTTCCTTGTAAAACAGGATCATAAGTTAATATCAGAACCATATTACCTTTCTTGGTAATTATAGTATATCAACTTTTGCTTTAACTGTTAAATAAAATTTATACCAATAGTTCTAAGTGTTGGTTACATCCTCCTTAACTAGTCTTCTCATTGCCTTTATAAATTATTAGACTCTGTTATAGATAGCTCTATGCATTGGGTGGACACCATCTGAAAATTGATTCAAGGACCATGCCCATAATGAGTAGGTGAGATAAGTGGCTGTTTAGCATGTCTTTTTCCTATTTGTGGTTCACAATACATAAACGTGTATCTCTTCAGAGACTTTCTAAGGATTTTCATCAGCGGTAACAGGGGAAACACAGGAGTTAAAAGACCTCCTCTTTATGCAACCTCTCTGGGTTCCACTAACTAGCTAGTCTAGGAGAATTCAGAGCAAGGTAGGAGTCACTTTATGGAAATCCTTACGGATTTGTCATGTGCTCCTCACTCTGTTTTTCCATCTTTCTGGATCACCCTCAGTCAGTATGAGAAGCACGTGGGCACTAGGAGGGATCAGGCAGATAACTTAAGGAAGAGGAGCCAGGGGAAACCCCTGGTAGGCTTGGCTTTCTCCCATTTGTATTTTGTATGTAAGAACTCCAGTAACTTTGAGCATATGTTAAATTCAGAACCACCTGTGTGAGTGTTTGTGATAATCACGTAAATATAAAAATGCAATGATTCAGCAGTAATAAAATTTGTTCCCTATATTTAATATCACCTGCTCCTTGGCGCTATGCAAAGGCAAGCAAGTGTACAAAATTCTTGAGCAGTGGTACATAAACATAAAATGTGATTCATATGTATGTTTAAACCATAAAGACACATTAGTTAGTAGTCTACACTTAAGTTCTTTTACAAATTAAATAGGGACACCTGTACTGTTCCTACTAATTGGCTGAGAATGTAACTGGAAAACCCAACCTTCTATTCTGGGATTTTCAATCTATTCAATAGTACTTTCAGCAAATAGCATAATCAATATTTTAAAGTCATATTTGGTTTCTGGTGTGTAGCAGCGGGGTTTCTCTCCCTCCTAAGATCCTGCTATAAGGTGGCCTTTTTTCAGTGGTGTGCCTGACAACACTAACCTTTCTCCTCTGAGAGCAGTGCGCATGCCCAGGGAAAGGAGTCCAAGGGAATCTTTCACACATCCCTGATCTATAATCCCACTCTGCTGAGCCCCCACCCCGCCTTGATTTTAGCATCAACCCTAAACCTTTTTTAGGATTTTATGAACTACGCTTAATGGAGTACATTCCCCTTTTTGACGTAAAATGATGTAGAAAGACTGTAAATTCTTGTCCGCCACCCCAAAAAGAGGTGGTTAAGAAAGGCATCTGCCCATCTAATGGGGCATTTTCACAGCAGTACAGGCAAGAGGCATCACACCCCTGGGCAGGTAGATCTGGGGCCTTTGAAGCCATTAGAGATGCCTCAAAGGTAGTATGGGGGTCTCAAAACACTTTAGTCACCTCACTGCTCCAGGACAGCTGTAGGGCTTACAGAACCCTAAAGAGGCAAAAATCAAACAAACAAAAAAAACCCTTCTCTTCTCTGTGGAAACTTTAATCCTCTCAGGAGAGTTCTGTTTCTGCTGGAAATCCAATACTTTGCAAGCAAACATGATAAGACTTTCCAAAGTCACTAGGTGAGTATAATGAGTGTAGGGCTTAGAATACTTAGATGGGGTGAGGGGCGGGAGGTGGGAACTGGGATAAGTATTCCCTTTCATGAGAGTCTCTATTGGTAATGATTTCTCTACTTAATCAAAGAAAAGCAATGGAAGTTGCTTCCCCCTTACCTATTAAAAGAAGAAAGATGGGTATCTTTAATTAAAAAGCAAGGCATCACAAAATTCTTTAATTATAGGCTCCAAGGGGCTTTGAGCTCATCTTATATCTCCTTGGCTTTCAACAGGACGGCATTAAACATTCCTAAAAAGACTCAACCTACTTTTAAACGTACCCAAAGAGGGCATTCTAATCTGTTCCTTTGTGAGACAGGGAATTTTTTTTCCCTTTCTAACCTCACCACAGGTGAATTTTTCCTATTACTAACCTGAGCCTTCGCATTCAAGTTTGGGTTGGTTTGCTCAGTGGAAATGGTGACCAGCATCACCGTTAGCCTTTTCTAAACTGTACTTCCGTCCACCCCTCTATATGAAATTATAACAGTTAATTAGGATATTTGTGTTTAAATCAATAAATATGGAGTAGATGCCAACTGAATCACTCACTGATAAAAGACAGCCACCCTTCCTTTTTCTCATACCTTTTTCTCTGCCATCAGCTCTAATGCTATCATTTCTCCCTTCCCCATCTCTCTTCCAAATTGCTCACACACACATAAACACACTACAACATAGGTGCACATTCACACTGGTAAATTAAAAAAACAAAACAAACAACAACAACCTTAAACAACCGAGTTAACATTTAGCTCTTGGTCCTCACTGTTCACAAGGGGTAGTGGTTAAAGGCACAGACTCTGGGGCCCACTGTCAGTACTTAAATCCTGGCTCTGGGACCATGGACACATTTTGTAATCTCCCTATATATCTATTTTCTCATCTGTAGAATGGACACAATAATAGTATCTACCTTAAAGGGTTGTAGAAAGGCTGTATGAGTTAATACATGAAAAGCCCTTAGGATGGGGTCTGGTGCTCTAACTGAAAATGTTATATAGTTGTTAGCTATTGTTATACCCTTCTTGTAGCAAAGGGAAATTTGGAGGCATTAAACGATGCCTGATATTCCAGAAGGCATGAGTTTGAGAAAGAAAAGGAGGACTCAAGTTGAAGGGAAGTGGGTAAGCAAAGAGAGTCATCAGGTGAAAGATTAAAGAAAAAAGACAAAAAGCAAGTAAGAGAACAAAAACTACAGGCGAAGAACAACAGCAGACATTTAAGAGGGAAAAGTAAAGAGTAGAAAGAGAAAAACCATAGGGGAAAAGAAAAGAAACAAGAAAACAGAAGACAAGAGTAAAAATAGGGGCATAAAAATTGAAAGATAGAAGAAAACGGTTGAGAATAACAAAGGAGACCAAACATTAGGAAAGACTCAATTTACAGCTTGTGCTTGGTATCAGAAAAAAGAGTGGAAGAGAAAACAAAAATGCTGGATATAAAAGTAGGGAAAATTGGGACAGAAGGGATAGAAGTGATAACTTGCAAGGCTTCATTTGCAGCAACAGGCCTCTGTGTTTTTAAATTCTGGGAAGTTTACAACCAAAATTAACGCATCCGTGATGCACCAGGCTTCTTTCCCTATTTCTCCTATTTTAACTTGCTTCAGCCTGTCCCAGACTTAGTCCCTAAGGTTTGCCCTGATCAGATGTCTGCCTTGTGTGTTGTCTGCTCTACCCGACAAGGCCCAGGTGCAGTGATCCAATCATCATTTCATTTTCACTAATCCTTTTCAGCCATCCTTTTCAAGTGAAAATTTAGCCCTGGAGAAAACACTTACACCCTATTCCTTCTCCAAACATTCAGAAACCTCTAAGGGAAGCTGGTATTTTAATTTTTTAATTATTCACCTTACCGGTATTCTCCCCACCCCCGGTTTGTTTGTTTGTTTTGTTTTGTTTTTTGTCAACTTAGTACTGAGGGGATACGTTGCTTTCAGGGTTCCAAATTGTCCTCCCCACCAAAAGGAATTCATCACCCAATTACTTGAAAATAAGAGAGAGATTGCATCGAGGTTTAAAATAAAATCAGTATTTTAAAAATACGTCCTATTATCATTATTAAACTGCCTGGTGAAAACTATGTCTCCCTAATTGAGACAGTCGAGCGACCTTAAACAGCCCTCTAAACAGGCGAAGCGAACGGACCGCGAGCGTCTCCTTACGCCGGGGTGAGCTTGGGCCGCCGCCGCTGCCGCCAGAGTCACGAAGCCAGACGCGGCGCGCGTCTCCGCCCCGGACTCGGGAGACTGCGGCAGCGCGCACCGCAGCCCCGGCCGGGCGGCTCCCGGAGGCCGGAGGGAGACGCGACTCCTGCAGACACGTGATCGCCTTAGCCGCCGCTTCCCGCGACCCAGATCCGTCCCCGGAACCCGCGTCCTGCGGGGAGGGCTGGGAGACACTTAGCGATGGCCCCAGTCCCTGCTGCCCCCAGTGCGTGTGCATTCGGTGTACTTCTCTCCTAGGTTCACGTGCCACTGGCAATAATGAATGTTTCGGGGCTCACCCGGGAGATTGTAGATCTTACTCTTGGTGCCAGAAGGAAAGACCTTTGGTTTCACAGCTACCTATATACAGAGCGTTTAAAATATATTCTCTCCATCCCACCCACCGCAAGCCTGAGTAGCGGCAGCGGGGCGGAAGACTGGGTGGTCCCGCAGAACATGCTTGCTCCTTCCTGGCCTCCAAGGTCCCTTGCCGCCGGCTGTGACAGACGGCAGTGAGCATCTCTGGGCACCTCCCGGAAACTCTCACTACCAGTGAGTCATGCTCCGGGATGGTTCTAGGGAAAAGGCAGCCCGGCAGCCGCTGGCCTGTGCTTCCCAGCGCGGGTCGCCGCGGCTGCAAGACGAGCACGCGCACGCGCGCGCACGGGTTCCCCCGCGCAGTGATGTGGCAGCAGCGGCAGGTCGGATCACGTTGCTGGCCCTGTGCTGGTACCCGTTTGAGACAGGATTAAGGAGGGAGGCTCTGGAGGTGCCAGCGGTAGTAAACGTGGGCTCTGCACACTCCCGGTGTCGCTTATCGCATGAGGGGGGGAAGGGAAAGGAAGCACGCAGCGCCACCCAGGCGTTGAAGGGCGGCGGAGTTTAGCCGGCGAGTGATAATGCTGCATTGCTTTTCTGCGGTAGCCCGTAACGTGCCACCCGCCTCCTCTACCCCTCCTTCCCCGCCAAGTTCCTCCGGGAGCACCAGAGGCCCAAAACGTCATCTGCTGCTGTGATTAGTGATACCGCAATTCCGGCTGCTGCGGGAAGTTTGGGTGGCCCAGGGACACTGTGTCGCCAAAAGACACTTGGATTGCGACATTCTGACCCAGTGACATTTTCATTTATCTTAAATCTTTCAGGGAAAGGATTTCAAGTTGCCCCTTTTCGGGGCAACCTCCAACCAGGGCCAAGGGGTTCCCCAGGCCACTGAGCAGTGAGCAAACAAGTCTCCAAATTTTCCTTCGGGACTGAAGTTTACCCACCGCGAATTCTCTTTCTCTTTCCTTTCTCTGGTTCAATCCAACAGCACAGTCGGTGGAAAAGCAAAAAGCCACGTTCATGTTCCTGCACCGTAATGACGGACGGACTGAGGGAGTCACATTTCAGAGCCGAGGAAGCCCTGGCTGCCCCGCACCCCCGCACCCCCTCCCCTTCCCCCAGCTGACTGCATTGCCTTTGGGAAGATGAATAGCTTGGCTGAAGTTGTTTTTCCTTTCCGGTGGCCACGATCAGGTGCCCCCGCCCCCTCCCGCCGTTCGCTTTCCCTCTCAGCCTTCTCCCGACGCCCCCTCCCGGCCCGGCCCCTCCTCCCCCTCCCCCCTCCGGGCTGGACCGCGGATGGTACGTTCCGCACGTGAGCTGGGTGCTGGTCTGGCCGGCGACGCGCGTGCCCTGTGGCCAAACACTGCCCGGAGTGAGAGCAAACTACCAGCGCAGTGGGGCCGGCGCGAGTGTGCGTGCGTGTGTGTGCGTGTGTGCGAGAAAGCGAGCGCGGTGGGAGGGGGGACCAACTGCTTCACACTTTCAACACTGCACTGAAGAGGGAGAGACTGGAGACGCACAGATTCCCCCCAAGATCTCCCAAAGCTGCCGTCCCACAGATTTTAGAACAGACCCCAAAAATCGAAACAGAGGAAACGGACAGCGGTTGAACATGGACGAAGGAATTCCTCATTTGCAAGAGAGACAGTTACTGGAACATAGAGATTTTATAGGGTAAGGTGCACGCACCCTTGCGAATATCTGTCTGGGCTTCAGTTTGATTTTTTTTTTTTCCTTTCCCAAAAGTGGTATGGAGCGGGTGAGGGCAGAGCCCTTCCCGAATGGGTGCCTGATGCAGATTTCTGTTTTGCAGACTGGACTATTCTTCTTTGTATATGTGCAAACCCAAAAGGAGCATGAAGCGAGATGATAGCAAGGTAAGAGTAAGTTTCCGATGTTCCCCATAACCTGCCTGGATAGTTAATTAGGGCCATTGATTTCACAGCGAAGCTCTGCCCGCAAATATATTCCAGCCCTTGAGCTTCCCCAGCTGTGAATTTTAAGTGGTTTGCTGGATACTCTCGGGGGGAGATTAAACATCATACCTGAATTTAAATTGCATTTCAGAACAGCCCAGAGGAAAGAGGTTTCATGGGCATAGTTTATCACATAACATGTTTGGGGGCTTTCCTGGGCATAGTTTATCACATAATACGTTTTTTGGGCGGGTGGGGGATATTGTTATATCCAGTAAATGAATGTTTATCTTATTGTTTTCTCTCTTCCATGACTCTCATACATGAAGGATACCTACAAATTACCGCACAGGTTAATAGAGAAAAAAAGAAGAGACCGAATTAATGAATGCATTGCTCAGCTAAAAGATTTATTGCCTGAACATCTGAAGTTGACAGTAAGATGCACATTTTCCTTCTTTGCTGCTCTCCAAGGGCCTGTTAATAGCCTGGTAGTACTCCCAGAGATATAAGAATAAATGTAAATATCAGATACCTTACAACTTGGGGTAGAGTGTAGAGTTTCCCACAAACTCAAGAGTAGGTGTTCAAAACTGAAGGCAAGAATTATCATTATAGCCTGTCTTGGGGAAAGCTCAAGAAGTATAGGAATAATACTTCTTTCCAAGTGTTTGCTTAAGTTTTTGTGTTGAATAGAGAGCCAGTCAAGCCAAATGTGTTTTTAAGTAACCAAGTGCCCCCATTCTCTTTTGCACCACTGCAGACTCTGGGGCATCTGGAAAAAGCGGTAGTCTTGGAATTAACTTTGAAACACTTAAAAGCTTTAACAGCCTTAACCGAGCAGCAGCATCAGAAGATAATTGCTTTACAGAATGGTAAGTCAGTTCAGGAAGGCCAACCCACCCTGTTGAAGCCCTGCAGCCCACAGAAGAGGAGAAGTGTTAGGACTCTTCCTCCAACCCCACTCCCACCCTCACCTCCTTCCGTGGGCCCACGGGTTCACTCTCATTTATGAAATTGTTTATACTTTCCCTTCATTGGAAAGTGCTCGTTTCCCGAAGCATCCTAGAAGCCGTCAGCAGAACTCAGAGGAATCAGATTTTTATTTAAAGTGGCGGTTGCACTCTCTCTACTTTAGTTTTTCAGCTGGGA